AAAAGAAACGGGCACAAAAGACCATGTATATTATTTCATTCATATAAAATGCTCAGAATAGGCAAATCCACAGAGACAAATAAAAGATTAGAGGTTACCTAGAGCTAGAAGCTTGAGGGAATGCAGAAGTGAAGGATAGTGGATTTAAGGTTTCTTTGTGAAGTCATTAAAATGTTCTTAAATTGATTGTGACAAAAGCTGTACAACTCTTCACTGAAGCTACTGACTTTAAGTGGATAAACTGTACAGTTTGTGAATTATATGAATAATAATGAACTATTATCCCTGGTCTATTTTATAGTTTATAAAAACATTAGGCCGGCCTGGGTGGCTCATGTCTGTAACCCCTGCACTTTGTGGGGCTGAGGCAGGTGGATTGCCTGAGCTCAGGAGTTACAACACAGTAAAACCTCGTCTCTACTAAAATGCAAAAAATTAGCTGGACGTGGCAGCGTGCATCTGTAATCCCAGCTACTCTGGAGGCTGAGAAAGAATAGCTGGAACCTGGGAGGCAGAGGCTATGGTGAACCTAGATCACACCACTGCACTCCAGCCTGGGTGACAGGTGAGACTCCATCTCAAAAAAAAAAAAAAAAAAGAAACTATTTTCCCTTCTTTTAAATATTTAAATAAAATTTCTAATTTTAAATTAGTTTCTAATTGTTTTTACTGTACTATAATAAATACAATACCTGTCTGAGTATTGTTAGTTTTGACCCAATTTTTAAATGGCAAAGAATATAAAATGGTAAAACAAAAAAAAAGGATAAAACTTTGTTGCACATGTCCAGTATTTGAGTTTTGTTTGCCTTTTTGCAAGTGTAGGGATATACCATTTATTTTCATTATTTCTAACGCAAAAAGTAGTAAGAAAATTGGTAAAACTTCAAGAATATATTCCCTGTCATTCCCTGTGATATTATATCATTAGTATCACAGCCAGCAAACCCTGAAACCTATGTAGCTATGCCTCCTACCTCCATGGAAAGATCCTTCAGGAAGGAACACAGTGGCATTAAAAAATATCTACTTTCTCCTAATCTTGGGGTTAAGAGGGATAAAGATGGAGGGATTTACACCCACATTTCACTTTCAAGATCAACAAGGTTGCTTGTCATACTTTCTGCTACACTATCTTTATCTTCTTTCTTAGAAGCTTGCTCATACTATTCTTGTTTCCTAAAATGTCATTCCTCTCTATCTATCCAATAATCCATTCCTGAAAACCAGTTTTGGTCTCAATCCACTGAGGTCTTCATCAGCTACTCTGGTTCACTCTGTCTCTACATGACAAACTGCTCTCAATACCACAGAAATGATCGTTTTATTTCTCCATGTTTCATGTGCCTTAATTTTGTCCTCCCACCCCACAGCTCTACAAAAAAAAAAAAAAAAAAAAAACTAAGAGTCAAAGAATCTGTGTATACACCTTGGAACATAATAGCAACAACAATAATAACAGAGAAGTTAACATTTACTGAACACTTACTATGTGCCAGATTATACAGGCACAGTCAAGTGAGTTGCTAAAAATGTCATTTATTGGTGGGCAAATACTTTACTAAATGAATGTTTCACACATATCATCTCATTTTCCCTGACAACTCTTTAGTCTGCCACAAGCATTAATATTACTATTTTACAGGGTAAAATAAAATTTTCTTTTAGATACACTACAACTTAATTGTAGAGATAGAATTATAATATAGATTTTCTGACACAGGCCAAGGCTGTCTGTCTTACACTGTAATATCTCATTTAAAGGGGGAATAAAAATATATGGGTTATCCACGATTCATCCCCTAAGGCTCCTATCTAATCTGCACCCAAATTCCACAGAGAACACAAGGGTGCTGAAGGAAAGTTTCCTTCCCAAACTGGTACTGGAAAAACAGGTACTAATGCTAAATAAAATGTTATCATTACGAAGTTCTCTCACACATGTCATATCATGTGATCTTAACAACCACCTGATAAAGAGATACAAGTTATCATCTCCAGACAAAAAATGTATGTGTTTTGTCCACTAAAGGCCAACAGCTTAGTAAGTAATAGAGCTAAGCTCAAATCCACAACTTCAAACTCAAAACGCTGATTATTTTCTTCCCCTCTCTATCCAAAATTAAGCACTTCATTTTACAGTGATGTTCTGTAATTAGTTCTCAAAGTTGATGAATAAATACAAACACTATAAATCATGGGTTCTAAATGTTTTCTGAGTTCATAGGCAGGCCCCTTAAAAAATCAAATCTACGAAACCACTGGATAGGTTAAAAAAAAAAAAAAAAATCCAGTTTTTTTCAGGCTTGTGGGCCCCTGTTAAGAGCCCTATTAAGAACTGTAAGTTAAAGAAGAGAGGTCCTAATCAAATCTATGAAACCACTGGATAGATTAAAAAAAAAAAAAAAACACAGTTTTTTTCAGGTTTGTAGGCCCCTGTTAAGAGCCCTATAAAGGACTATAAGTTAAAGAACAGAGGTTATTTATGCTCCTATCATATGCTTCACAGTACACAGCAGAGAGTACAGAATAAAGATTTCTAAAGTAAATGAATGATTGTAAACAGACCTAATTTTCTTGATGTTGGCACTGGAAGTCATGGAGCCTCTTGTAAGTCGTATATTTTTAAAGTAATAGAAAAAGCCAGTGTAGGGAAGTCATTAACAGAGAAGGAACAAATCAAAATTAATGAGTTATACTGCATGCTAAGAACTTTATTTGTTACCATTTTTTAGCCTCAAAGAAGCCTCTAAAGTAGTTATTATCTGTATTTTTTTAGTTTGCCAGAAACTTAAGGTAAATGGCGAAAGATATAAATTTAGATCAGTCTAGGATGCAAAACATCTGCTTTTTCATTATGCTTGATAGCACTGAAGGTTTTCAAAAGAAAAAAAACTTAAGACATTAAGTGAAAAGAAAGGTGACTATGGAATCAAAAACAGAGAAAGTATTGCAAATAACAGTAAAGAGTAACAGAAAACTAAGATAAATAACCTAGATTATAAAATATTTAATTGGGTGGGAGAAAAAAAAACCAAACTTAAGAACAATTTGATTGTAATTCAAACTAACTCACTGGATAACATTAGACTAACCACTTTACCTTTCTGGGCCTTAGCTACCTCGTCAGTAAAATTATGGGTGTTGGATGGCACAAAATCCTAAATTTCTAAATTCTTTCACATTTCAAAACATTGTCACAGTTATTTCATTTCACTACACTGAGCAAAAACTTTGTTTTATTTACTGATGTATCCCCAGCACCTAGTTGGTACAAAGTATGCCCAAAATGTTAATTGAGTAAGATGAATTTTGATCCTGAAAATTATCTTGAGAGGAACACACAACAGGGCAGGATTATTGCACTTAATTTATGTATGAGAAAAAACCAAGGTTCAGAGTGAAAAGATACTTGCTCACAGTCCCACAGCTAGAGGTGGAGCTAGAATGCAAACTCAGATTTTCAATTTGGGGGACTAGTTCAAATCTCTTTCCAGGTCTAAATGTGTTACACATTTTTATATACTTTTAAATACTCAGGGCACAAGAACAATTAACTCTTCTTATTCTTACCCTTTCAAAGAAAAAAGTCATCAGGATAGTGTTACTACAGAAATTAATAAATAAATATTTAGAAGACTTATCTGAAAGAATACCTAACAACAGTGTTGCATATGATATAAAAGAGATTAAATCCAAGCTCTGATTTTCTTTGATTATACCAATTATATTTTCTTACTTTCTGTGTTCCACAGTGAGTCTACATCTATAATTCTGGCTGGCAACTTTGTAAACACTTGCTCCTAATCATGAGGGGGGAGGAATACAAATCTATCTCTATAACTATTACTGTTCAAACCATGAACCTTGTGGCAGGCTCCCAATAAGGTTGGGAAACACATCCCATTGCCCTTCCTCTAGAGAAAACAGCCTGAAGGGCAGCATGAACTGGAAATACCTAGCAGGGCAATCTTTGTGTGTGATGGTAGCAAACTATTTTGATGGAAAAAAAAAAAGTCAACAAACTCATCCAAACAAAAAATCTTTCTTTCAATAATAATTGCTAGAACACAAGTATTTCCTTTCATATAATGTGGCCCATTAAAAGGCTTTCAAAAAGTTAGACATCAATGATGGCAAAAAAAAAAAAAAAAAAAAAA